TTAAATAAAAAAACTACCCCTGGTATCTTGCAAAAATGCCTGGTAAGGTACCTCAATTTTTTATGAGTAAACATGTTTTAGTAGCAATACTTCAATGACAAAATCTTGGAAAATTTTATCTGTTATTAAGGAACGTCTCGTCTGTCCTTAATTTCATATGTTAAAGTCAAGATTAAAACATTTTTGCATCACCCGGACCTTAAAACGCAGGGGGACCTTTTCTTATACGGGCCGGACCTTTTCTTATAAAAGGCGGACCAAATATGTTATCGTATTAGGTCCGACCGGACCTTTAAAGGAGGCGGACCAAATATTATGCGACACCCGGTCTCCACGTCCCACAGTGGGATTCGAACCCGCGACGTAGGATTGACTCCTTACTTCGCGACTCTAGAGCAGACGCTCTAACCACTGCGCCACGCGGGCGACTGGAATTATTTGACATATGCAACGTATCTTATCTTCTGATAATTTTTCAACTTATTTGAATTCTTAATAAAAGATTACAGTGCCATCAGATGTTCATAGACAAAAAAATCAGCATAGAGTGTTTTGAAAAAGATATCAATTAATCATATTTTGTTTTGTTTAAAGAAAATGAACCAAAAATATTAAACATATAAAATATATATTATTCTAGAAGTTTTGTTTATTCAAAGTTGTTTTGAAAGACTTGTAGAACAGCGTATAGACATTGAAAGGTAGAGCACAGTTCCTTTAAGTATTTGAACTCTTCAGCTCCAGGGAAAAAGAATATGTTACGCATGTAAGGGAAGAGATAATTTTGATAAATGAAATACAGATTTAATGTATAATTCAAAGCTTCATTAAAATCTGGCATGGTTAATTGCATCCCATTTTTTAAATCTCTTCTTTTCCAAAATATAATTTTGGCGCTTTGACAATACAATCCTGTATTTTCGGTGAAGAGGTCAAATCTCTGGAACTATTTTTGTTGCTGTGTTTTTCGTTCAGTCGACATGTTTTGATAGTTAGAAAAGCGATTTATTCCTCTTCCAGGACACATCTCCAATCAGTGAGAGAAAAAATATCGATTCGTGAAAACAAAATCGAAGAAGTAAATTTTACAAATCTATACCGGGGGGTATTGATGATAATTGTATACTTAATAAGTTAATGTACATAAATCAACGTTTCTGTAATTTGCTTTATGTTTTTTTTTTAGGCTTTTTTAACAGAAAAAAAATATGAAAGATGCTATTTAAAACACCAAATCCTCGGTACCGAAGAGACGAGAATAAGTAACGAATACGGTAATCGTTTAAATTCCACGATGTTAAAATTTCACGATTTTTCAAAAATAACAGTTGCGAGGATTTTAATTCAATGCTGAAAAAAATTAATTTAAATTTCTTTCAGGCATTTAAATGTTTTTTTTAAACTAATGTTAGTATTCACGATGGGTTTAATTTTGCGGGAAAATGATGAATTGCGAACAGAATGACATGAAAGCTCGTAATTATTTGCCAATCTACAATATATGTTTTCCTTAATTTCAGGAAGACGTGTTTTAAAACCAAAACATCTATAATTGAAATACTCATAGTCCTTAATAACTTAAACGTCAAAGCAAAAAATATTTTAAGGGGACCGACTTGGGTTTTTATTTTGTAACATTTTGCACATAAGCAATCCAACATACTTAGTAACCAAATGAAGAAATCAGAGGTTGAAATATTTAATAACAGTAATATTTAGCCGAGTTTTAAAACGACTTTCAAGTACAACTGATGGGTTGATTGACGTCGTATTTATGTGTTTCTGACAGGAATTGAAAAATTGAGAAACAAATGTAATTGTACTGTATGTCTGATACTGTAAAATGTGAAATACTGTAAAAATGTTTGTGTTTGATATTGTAAAAAAAATCAAACACTTTCGTACTAGATTTTTGAAACAAACAATCAAAAAAGTTCAATTTAAATCAATCAAGACTATAAATCTTGATCGGGACTAAAATTGATACCTCCTAATGCAAGTATCTGAAAAATGCATATAGATTTATTATAATGGGAAGTATTTGCATAAAATTATATAACATTGTAGAAACATTAAGAATAAAGATGTTTATTTAAGTTTTTTGATAGAAGCAAATCAAGCATTGTCATTACATACAAAAAAAGAGGCTCATGGGCCACATCGCTCACCTGAGTAACTTGGGTGATGCAGATCTTTACCAGATTCCCTCTCTTGCTATACCTATCATGCCCAACAACCCCCTTCCCTTTTTTATTTTAAAACTTTAGAATCTACACTACCCAAGGATGCTTTCACATAAGTTTCAGCTTTCCTGGCCCAGTGGTTCTTGAGAAGAAGATTTTTAAAGATTTGTTCTATATATTTCTATGTAAAACTTGGATTCCCTATTGTGGCCCCGCCCTACCCCCGGGGGTCATGATTATAACAATTTAATATCTTCACTACCCATTGATGTTTCAATATAAGTTTCAGCTTACCTGGCCCAGTGGTTCTTGAGAATAAGATTTTTAAAGATTTGTTCTATATATTTCAATGTAAAACTTGGATTCCCTATTGTAGCCATGCCCTACCCCCGGGGGTCATGATATTAACAATTTAATATCTACACTACCCAAGGATGCTTTCACAAAAGTTTCAGCTTTCCTGGCCCAGTGGTTCTTGAGAAGAAGATTTTTAAAGATTTGTTCTATATATTTCTATGTAAAACTTGGATTCCCTATTGTGGCCCCGCCCTAACCCGAGGGTCATGATTTTAACAATTTAATATCTACACTACACAATGATGCTTCCACATAAGTCTAAGCTTTCCTGGCCCAGTTGTTCTTGAGAAGAAGATTTTTAAAGATTTGTTCTATATATTTCTATTTAAAACTTGTATTCCCTATTGTGGCCCCGCCCTATCCCCGGGGGTCATGATTTTAACAATTTAATATCTACACTACCCAAGGATGCTTTCATATAAGTCTCAGCTTTCCTGGCCCAGTGGTTCTTGAGAAGAAGATTTTTAAAGATTTGTTCTATATATTTCTATGTAAAACTTGTATTTCCTATTGTGGCCCCGCCCTACCCCGGGGGTCATGATTTTAAGAATTTAATATCTACACTACCTAAGGATGCTTCCACATAAGTTTCAGCTTTCCTGGCCCAGTGGTTCTTGAGAAGAAGATTTTTTAGTGACCCCACCCTATTTTTGTTTTTCATTGATTATCTCCCTTGTAAGGGAACTCAGCCCTTCATTTTTACAATTTAAACTCCCCTTTACCCAAGGATGCTTTGTACCAAGTTTGGTTAAGATTAGCCCATTGGTTCTTGAGAAGAAGTCGAAAATGTGAAAAGTTTACAGACGGACGGACGGACGACGGACAAAATGTGATCAGAAAAGCTCACTTGAGCCTTCGGCTCAGGTGAGCTAAAAAATGTTACGCACTCTTCAAAAGCAACATCCTTTAACTAAAATCAATAGATGACGGAAAAGGTATGTTAATATTTAATTTATTATTCATAATAATAAAAATGTCGATTTGTAAATTTCTTTAATGCAATCTACATGATACTCATCCCTTTCTGAATCATTTTCCACTGAAAGATGCTGCAAATACGTTTCAATGTGACATGTGTAATAATCTTGTAGATAAGATTGCGACCGCTTTCAAGCATTTTTTAACGGCATTTCAGAAACCAATGGTTTTGTTTACAGATTAAATTCAAAATATATCTGTTCAAAGTTTATTTAATGTGTAGTAATAATGAAGTATGCCAAGACGGAGCTCCGAAAGACATTAAGAGCTTTATACAGCTCACCGCACTTTTTGAGCTCACATGGTTTTTCGCATAAATTAAGTTCAAATTTTTCTTGCAATAAAACTTGAAATTATCAAGCTTCAGTACGAGACATTGACGTAATATTATTATATATTTCATATCAAAAGTGCACATTCTCTAAAATCATTATATTAAGTTTTAAAACTGGGTGTGTAAAAAGGGTAATTATTTATAAACTGTATGATGTTCAATGTGTATGATTCTGCCATAGGTATTTGCAAATTAATTGATCAAGCTTTCCTTGATACTATTTAGTTGAAATGTTCAAATTTATTTCTTACAGATGAGTGTTTTTCTAAGTACTATGAATATTTTAATACTTGTCTTGGTATTGTCGAAATGCAGCGCCGAAAAATGACAAAACTGCATAAAGAAATCATGTAAAAGTATAGGAAAATAAAGTATTGTTACGATTGAAAAGAAAATTCTTTTATATTAATGGTCTGAAACTTTGAAATTTTGTGTTGGAGGGTATCTTTCATTATGCCAGATTTCAGAAAGTTGACCTTAAAAGAATCTATATTTTTAATCTAACATGAAAAACAGTCGAACAGATGGGAAATACTTCTATCATCTTGCGCCTTAGTGTCATATTAATGTACAAAAAATACAGAAGTTACATGAACTGCACTGTTTCTGAATTTAGGCAAGGCATAGGTTTGATCTATAATCCTAAAGCATATAAAAATCCAGCTATTATTAAGTGTGAATCGAATTACGTTTAAAGTAATGAAATAAAATCAAAATTAAGTTAAAATCACTTTTAAATATATTTTGTTCTCACGTTACACAATTTTGCATTATGACAATGCGACCTTTATTTGTGCGAAAAACCATGTGAGTTAAAAAAAAAAGTGCGTTGAGCTGTATAAATATTGTGAATTGATATACATGCAAATTTTTGTTGGGGGAAATTCAATGGTCCCTGAACGCTCGAAACATATGCATGCATTATATGTTTTAATACAAAAATATTCTGAAATCGAGAAAGGAACTTTGGGAGCCTAATTTTGTCAAAAACTTTCAAGTCAAGGTACATGTTTATATCTTAAGGTTTAAAGTCATATACGCTATATGAACGCCGAATTTTGTGTGAAACCAAAATAATTAATGATTTAAAACACATGAAGTGCAATGAAAAATAATACTTTCCACAAAATTGTACTATAGATGCCGTTGTTATAACAAAACAATTAAACAATATCTAGGAATTAAGAATTCAGTCTTTTCATGAATATTGATGAAGGAAGTGCGTATGCAGTAGGCCTATATATAGAAACACATGTCCACGGGAAATCACAGACAACGAGGTATGTTGCATTTTGACAACAATTATTAATATAAGGTTAAAATGCGTCATAACAGAGAAGATGGTTGATACTAAATACATTTAAAGATGAGTACCATTAAGTAAGACGCTTGCCATCCACGTGAAAAGTGAGTAGTATCTCAAACGGCCTACATTGTTTTCTTTACGCCACGTGTGTTTATCAATCTAAATGTAGCGACGACGTCACGTGATGGATTTATTTAAAAAAAGCTATTTTTCTTTCCTTGCAGGATAATAAAAAATTATAATTTGATAACTTTGTAACGCATTTAATTTTAATGGTGTAATTTACAGTATTTTCGTAACTTTTATTGATAAACAAATTATATCAATTTCTTATCGTATTTTAACTGGCGCAAGTTATAGCGTGTATACTTTTAAGGAAATTTTTCAGGCATTGGAGGAAGGAAGAGATAAATATACGAAGGCTTGACGATGAACCCTTCGTTGAAGCAAAGCTATTTTGCTTCGTTAAAAAAAGTCAGGTAGTGTGCATATACACGTGTTCTGTCGAACCATGTTCATTCAGTTCTGAATCTTTAACATGTGACATATCTTTGGATACCCGTTCATTAATATCATGATATGCATGGTTATCAGTCTGTTTCTCACACAAATCGTTTAAAGACATATAGCCACATCCATCTATGTTTTCTGGATCGGGTAATATATCAATATAAGCATTTGTTTGAATGTCCGACATATCAGTATATAAATCCAGTGCACGGTAATCATGATTTACTTTTTGATATTCAGAGAAATGGCTTCTTTGCATATACTCTTTCCTTGATGTTTCATCTACAATGGTGTTGATATCGGCATATACAGGCAAGTTCTCGTTTTGCATATCTGTATATACATTCCCATGATTGTTTTGCTGTTCTTCAAACACTTGGTTTATGGGTACCAGAATACGTTGCTTTGCTCCCATTTTAATCCTTGAAAAAAATTGGAATTAAAAATAAATCTAAACAAATATTAGGATAAATACTGTACTTGTTTTATTTTGCCTCATTTGACATTATTGAAAAAGAAATTATATTTTTGTAAATGAAAGAACGAGACTAATTTTGTTCCTTACCTTTCGTTTCTGCATTTTATAATACAAATTCCAAAAATGGTGAGACATATCACAATGACCAAAATAATGAACCAGTGCATCCATTTATTTATGAGATTTGTGATGTGTTCCCAAACTCCGAAGTCATTGGTCATGCTTTCAAAACTTAAGACTGTTGTTATATTTGTCTGATGTGATATGGTACCATTTTCTGGTTTAGACCCAGATGTAACATTTTCCTTTGCTGAAAAGAGAGAAAGAAATTTTTAATTTTTTAAAAATTATTGCAGAATAAAATGATTATTACTTTGAAATCTGTCAGCAGAAATACTATTGATGAAGATAGCCACCTGTATCCATAATGAAGTGAAGAAATAATAATCCTTTAAATGTCGTTGTTAATTTTTCTTCAATACAGCCCAAAACCTTATTACACTCTTCATCTGGGCACGCGCAAGATTCCATACATCTAGGTCCGAAGGAACCAGATGGACACGGACTGGTACAGTTATATCCAAGTGAACCAAGACATTCTAAAAGGACAATTCTCATATATTTAAAAACCGGATTGTCTTTTTATCATATAAAAATTAACTATTCTTAAGAGAGAAATTTGTTATACATGTATTTAAATAATTAGAAATGTAATATAACGTTAATAGACTAAACATTTAGCAAATTCATTACAAATTACTTAATTTTCAGAGCATTCTATTAATGAGTATGATCCCAATAGAGAATAAAATAAAACGGTACTAAAGAAATGCATTTTTACTTACCGTGACATTTATCATTCAGTTCGTAAAAACCACTACAGCAATATCTTGTCCCACTTAAAAATATAAAAAATGAATGAATCGTACAAATTATAATCTGACAAAATACAAATGTTATATATGTATCTAAATGATAATTATTATTTACTTTGTATGCATACATCCATCCGGTGTTCCTGGTAGGAGTGTTAAAACCTTAGATGAGAAAAAAAATAATCCTGAAACTGTCAAGGCACCGTGTGACATATCTGTAGGATATTACTGTCCTGTCGTCTTTATCGAAGTGTGAGGGTCTTCCTTTATATCATAGACGATAAATCGGATTTCCTTGTTATAATTAGAATGATCACATGTCAGTTTTTTAAAATCTACTCAGTTAAAAACACATTGTATTTGTTATACCCTGTTATATACGTATATAAAAGCTTCTGGATTTTATCAATAAAATATTTGTTCTGGTGTCAAATTATTTCAAATACTGCTTTCCCATTAACCATTAAAAAATATTGAAGAAAACAAACTGCAAGCAATAATTCCATACGATCTAACAAATAAAGATATTTTATTGTTTATGTGTCATTTTCAAAATTTGTCCAAATTCCAACACCAGTATTTTGCAAAAATAAATGTGACAATCTAAACTTTTTAAAGTTTTATTTTAGCATTCAAACATCATAGATGCATAAACAATGTTAAAGCACAAAGAATTCTATTAACATATACTAAAAAAAACATTGTATGTACATGGGCCCAACAATAAATGTCCATGGTGTTACTTAGTTAAAAGTCATAGTAAAATCATGATTTAAAAAGAAAATTAAGGTTTTATTGATTTAAAAAGAAAATTAAGGTTTTTAGAATAACAATCTCAACATAGTGATAAAATTATTCTATTGAATCAAGCTGAAGTTTCATAACAGAAAATTATCAGATAAAGTATAGCTGGAAGTTGTAAGTGTTGTAACTTTTGTATATATCTTACACGTTTACTTAAGGCATACATCACTTACCTCAGCACAAAATACTTGCTTTGCAAATAAACTTAGTATTAGAAAACGACAGTATTGTGTTGCAAGTTTTGATAAAATTGTATAAAGATTTAGAACATAAATATAGGAAAAATGTGTTGGTAACACCAAGGATATTTGCATAACACAAAGGACATAAAGGTTACACTAAGGATATTTTGTGTAATACTTAGAAAGAAATAATAAAGTTGTTCTCCTTCCTTCCGAAAAGGATAGTAATGAAATTACCCTAGAGGTGAATATAAGAGTATATGGTTTTAACATAAAAAATTGGCGGGGGATTTCTTTTATTATACATTTTGAGTCTGACTAGTAACACCAAGGATAAAACAGTAACGACATAGACATAACTATCCAATCATAAGATATATGACAGTAGAAAAATGAAATCAAATTGTCATGCCCGAATAATAAATAATTACTATCACATGACTTTGAATCATTGATTAGTACTTGTTAGTTTATTTACATATCCAAGCAAAAGCTGTAACACCAAGGACAAAAAATAACACAAAGGACACCTTTAAAAGATTCAAAGGTTTACATAGATGAGTCTTAGATCAGCTAGAACTAATTTTTAATGAAGAAATAATTGTGAAACTTGAACATGTACATGTATTTGTAAATGACCAGATTTCAAATATATAGAATGCATTAATCTTTTTATGGATTTTACATTTTCATTTCATTTATCTACAGCTAGCCTCTTTCCACAATGAGCTCTCTACATAATACACATCTACAAGATATGATGGTGACAATATTATTAAAACATTAGCAATGCTATAACAGCTTTTATCTTTTACAGTTTTTGGCCTGTTAAAAAGGAACATGGTTTTAGGTTCTGTCTAATTCCGTGCATACATTTAAGTTCATTTTTTCTGTATCTGTATCCAGTCTCTCTTCCAAAGGATCTGATTTCTCTTCATCTGTAGTCTGATGTTCATTATTGACTCCAATTCCTTCTCTTCCAGGGTGTCAGTCTTTTCAGTTTCTTTAGTCGGATTTCCTATCAGGAACTCTTGACTTTTTTTAATCTGTAGTCTTTTTCATTTTTTTCATTGATATTTTTCTGCCCTTTTTGCTCTTGTATCCACTGATCATTTGCCAATCTTTCATTGACAGTTCTTCAGGGTAACAATCCAACAAAGTGGCTTGAAATGTAGTGGTCTGCCACCATATCTGGCCTTGTTGTTGTCCAATGCTGCCTCGACTATATAATCTTCACCAACACTTTCCAAAAACTTAAATGTACATCCAAGGTTAAAATCTTCTTTCAGCACCAACTTTTACAGGATGTAGAACAGTCATGAGGGATTTCAGTTGGACAAATCTGAAGAACATCCTCAACTAAATGCAAAACTGTATTCTAGGGTAATGACTGGTACATTGTCTCTTAAAAAACATCTTTTGAAATCCTTTTAGAACAGTTATGAACAATTTGTGACTTTTTCATCTAAGGGTTTACATGATTAAAGGACTTTAAATGCATTTGCAAAGAAATGTTCCGTATCTGATATAACTTTAAAGGTATTTTCAATTCAATGATATAAATCTATCTTTTACGTCTTGGATTCTATTGCCTTCATTGCAACTTTTTAATATGTCTTGTTTACATCACCTTCATCAAGAGAACATAACTAGAATCCTCAGACTAAAGAAAACAAATCATATTCTGCCTTATTTCACATTCCCTTGTGTTACCTAAAACTTCCTTTGTGTTACCATTTTTAACCATCATATATTTTTAGCACTTCTTTATTTATTGTTACTTGAATTGCAATATCCCACCACATTTGTTTTCTGCAATACAATGAACACAATTACCACTCCATATGCAATACGCTTGTTTCATTTTTCTATCTTTAATCCTTGCTGTGTCCCTTGAGTAACTGAATTTGTCTATGGTGTTACCATAGGTTACTTTAAAGAGCATAAAAGGGGATATGATTGCATTACGTAATGAATTTTGATATTTCATTTTATTCAAAAGAAATAAAAGTTGTATATTTTCCTACAGAAACAAAAGAACATGCAAGAGTATATTAATAACATAAATATTTAATCGTTTTTACATCCATTGTGTTACCAAACATTGTCCTTTGTGTTACTCAAATTATTTATTGAATTAAATTATAGCTCATGGAAACATAATATGAAAAACAAATGCCAATTTGATAAAAATATTTCTGTTATTTTATGTTGTAATAAACTTTACACAAATGTTGTATTAAAATTGGCAATTTAAAAGGTTTTTTTTCAATTGGTCCGCGGAGTTACCCAATTCTGTCCTTTGCATAACCAAGACTGCAAAATCATATGATTTTCAAATGGTAAAAACATTTAGTAAATAATTTGGCATTTTAAAACAATATTAGTTACTGGATAGTTTTAAATAAGGGAGGAAAATAAAACATATGACTCCAACTTTCATTCTTTTTAATTATTTTCTATGTAAATTGTCCATGGAGTAACTAGATACATCCTTAGAGTAACTTTTCTTGCAGTAACAAAATGGACAGTAACACCAGGGAATTATTATATAAATAATTGGAAGTATAAAAGCAATAACTGACTTATGAACATAAAGCACAGCTCCTAGATGATAGGTATTTTGTTATAAACTTGCTCAATGCATCAAAGGAATGGCAAATTAATTTATCATCACAATATCGAAGTAACTCCTAGGACTCAAAAATAAATTACTATTGCAATCAAACTTGCCTTCAACCACATATTGTGCCTATGGTATAAAAGATCTGAGTAAAGAGTCTCATGATATTTTGGCGGGAACAAGACCAAAAGAAGGAGGCTGATAGTGAAGAGTTTCTTTAGGAAAGATAACTGTTACAGATAACTTTTATGCCCTGGTAACTCCAAGGACACGGCCAAAATAACACACACTTAACTTAAAAAAAATCATATTCTTACTCTTTTTCAATCACATTTTAGCATGCATTTAGACAGTATTAAACATGTACAACACAATAAAGGTCATTTTACACTGCTTAATTATATTTACTACATCAATAATCAGAGTTGAAGTCAATCATCCGGCGAAATCACAAGCAATTTTCTTTAATTTTACTCAGGTTGAAGGACTTTTTTCAGCATTCAAGTCAATTTTTAATCGCACTTAATTTTTTTCTACACTTATAGATTGTTGTTAAATTCATCGGGTAAAAAAAATTTGATTTTTATTGCAAAATTTTCAAAAAAAGCCTGTATAACAGGAATTTGGACATTTTTTGAAAATGACCCTTATATTCTTGACTTTATAAAAAGTCATATTAAGTAGGTTTATGCACTTTGGATATTGTACTTTTTACACGTTGATCTTTGTTAAGTTTTATTTATTAAACGACACTCTTTACAAGATATCTTTACAAGTGGATTGAAAAACTGGTTGCTTCCTGCATCTTTGCTAAAGGGAGTTTTCATTAGAAATAATGAAATTTTTTTTAGTGAATGAAAAAAAAGTTATATGTAAGATTTGGCTTGATGAGCTGTATTATAGGTCTTACATCAATGAAACGTATCGTTTATGCAATACTTGCCAATTTTATTCACTTTATAACACTCATTTCAAAGCATGCACAATGTATCAATAAAATAATTATTACATTTTTTAATTTTTCTTATTGTTTGAGAGTCAGATATCAGTCATTTTCCATACATTTAAGATACCGTCAAAAATTGCCAGTAACTGTTACCATTTGTTCCCTATAAAAGTGTTATTATTACACTTGGACAAATACTTCTTGAGATATTGATCTTATATTGGCGTCATTGAGAGCTGCTTTTCCAGTAAGGGTAGAGCTCATGAGTTGAATTTCTTACCTTGTATTTGGTCGTTTGCAAAATCATTTTGTAAAGAGACGTACTTGTTGTACACGCAGGTGCTATGGGGTTGATGTTCAGGGGATGCTTGGGTTTTTGATTGACAGTTTCTGTGTTGTTTTGGAGACTGGGTATTCCATTAGTCTGTCACAGTTCCCTTGGGTGCTGAATGTGCCTTTTTCTTGTATCTGTGTTTGTGTTCATGTTGGATAGATTTTGTACAAAATCCTACACACGAAAAGACAGAAAATACTGCAGTACCTTCAACTCGACATTTCGACATGTCAGAAACGTATTATTAATTAATAATAATTACCTTTATTCAACTACAGACACGAGAATATGACGATATATCCCAAGAATCCTAAAAAAAAAATATATATATAATCTGGCACAATTGTTTCAATTA